GGGAGACAAATGAAAAGAAGTGGGAGACAAATGAAAGGAAGTGGGAGACAAGCCAGCCGGGAACCCGACCACAATCACCCAGCCTGGGAGACAAATGAAAAGAACTGGGAGACAAATGAAAGGAAGTGGGAGACAAGTCGGCCGGGAACCCGACCAGACCATCCAGCACCAAGGCGACCATTCTTTAAAGCATTGAGAACCCCTAACAGTAAACTGTTTGGGGAAAAAGCATTCTGAGACCTCCCTTGCTGAGACAACCTCCAATAAATCTCAGTTGGGAGATAGATGCAAACCATCTGTACCCATAGGATCTGCTTCGGGTCGCTTCGGTTCTACTGGGATGCTGACCCTCCTCGCAGATCGCGGAGCTGGCAGAGCTGAGCCTCCATCGCCATGGAGTTGAGGCCTCCGGAGCTGAGCCAAGATCTGGCGGGTCCAGAGCTACTTCAATTTGAGCTCTTCGTGCGCTCGTGCGACATCCAGCGCTTACGGTTTTCCGATGGTCCTCGTTTCGTGAAGAAAAAGAACTTGCCATTTCCCAGCGAGAGGAAAGCAGTCTCACAGCTGCAAGGACAGGTGTCTTCGGGTCTGGACAGGCCTAGCTGGTCTGTAGAGGCCAAATCGTGGCAGAACAAAAGGAGTTGCTACCTCAGTTCGGGACCACATTAAAAGACCTTAAGTGACCTTGCTTTCTGGGAAACTCATGATCTTTGAGCGGGCCCAAAACCTCACAAAGACGGAAGAGGATGCAGAAACGTAACTTTTGCACTGCTATTTCACTTTTCTCTCCACTAGTGTCCAGCTCACGTACTTTCAGGTGGATAAGCAGGCCATCTGCCATTTGCAAAATAATGTGATGCTTCAAGGAGCTGATGCCGCCACAGGCCACAAGGCCCGGGAAAAACGGCGTGCAGCACGGCCTGGCAGGGCAGAAAACATGTTCCTAGATTCCTCGTAGTAAGAATGCTACTAGTAGTGATGCCAGGAGCCGCATTCGCAGCATCCTTGCTCCTAGTAGTAAGTCCAGGAGCCCCCAGTAGCTTCTTGTTCCTAGTAGTCCATGTTTTGCCATTGACAAACCGTCTATCCCAGCGAATGACGGACTGTACATCATGGTACCAGCTCCATGGTACCAGCTCCATGGCCTCTTTCCGCACGCTTGGAAGGAGGCGTTGCCATGGCACACCGCGTTGCCATGGCACACCAGCTTTGTTTCACATCTAGGAGAAGCAACGATCAATGGTTAGGTCCTTCTGATTCAATGGTTAGGTCCTGTGTGCTGCGAACTGTTTCAGGCGAATAACAGTTTGTCGTTGGTCACGAGTCCTTCCAGTTGCAGGTTCAAGTCAACTTGCAGATCCCTAAACCCTCCAGAAACAGCAGCAGCAGCGATGGCATCCTCAACAAACGATAGCTTTGCACAGAAATTGATCCATTCGAGTCGTTGAAGAATGTCCGAAGTTCACAAAAGCACCGCAACCAGGCCTGCAACCAAGCAACAGTCTCTTCAAGCTGGGCAATGGTTTTGCCTGCATCTCAGAAACCCCCTCGAAACCCCCCTTGCCTCTGTGCTTTGAATAGCTGCCTACTACTTAAAGCCAGCCAGAACTGTAGTCGTCTTGGGAAAAAAATGCCAGAAACATGCTACCTCAAACAGGAATCCTCCTCGCTGTCTTGTGTCTGCTGTGTTGTTTCAAGTCAATGTTGCACGCACTACTCAAACTACATACCCCTGAGGCTGGCGAGGCCAGAACTTCTCCAGTTCTGCTTCTCACGTGACGCGCGTGACACGCCGGCGGCCCGTCCTGTTGACACTTGCTCCTCACATGTGCAGCACATGCCTACACTCCCCCTAGGCATCCACCGCTGAAGTCTGAAAAGATCAGAAAGAAAAACACACATTGACTAGTAAGCTATTAGGAACAAGTGCATCGCTACTAGTAACAAGTGCCTTACTAGTAGTAACAAGAAGCTATTAATAACAAGAAGCTATTAGCAACACACGCCCACAACAGAAGACGCCGCTTGAAGACGAGAAGTTACGCCGCTCCGCAGCCCGCTGCGCCAGGAGCCGATGGATCTCTGCCTGCGCCGAGATCGGGTGACCCACTTTTGCTGTTGAGGAACAGCATCCCCAGAGATGGCCACTTAGATTCTCAATGGGTTCTTTGCCGCTTTCGCACCATCAATAGCTGGTCCTTCGATTCTGTATCCAAATATTCCAGGACTGATGGCAAAGCCCATCTAGCTATATCATGCAAAGCGTTTCAGTACCCAATCTGTGGGCCCATGATTACGCGGGCACTGTGTGTGTGCAGTTCCTCCACCCTAATAGCAGCTTGCTACTAGTAGCGATGGCCTCCAACCTACTTGCGATAACCTCCACCTAATAGCATCCTTGCTACATGTGTTTTTTTTTGTTTTGTTTTAGTCTTTGTTTCGCTCAAAATCACTGAGCTTTCCTCGCTCAACAACGCGTTTGAAAGCACGCGTTTCGCCTGCAGAAAGCGGCATTCACTTTGTGCTGCTAGCGCGTCAGCTTCAAACTCCAGGCTCCACGCAGCTTTTGCCTCGAAAAAAGAGCTCACTATAGTGATCCCCGAATAGATAGTGGCTCGGTTCGGTTTCCAATACTACTTTTTGGTGGGGATCGACTTGTCTATCTATTTGGGGGGGTCTACAATGGTCTCTATACGTTGTCTGTATTCTGAAGCTGCCCAACCATCACTCTGTTGCTGTGTCCGACATGGTGGGATATGGCAAGTTGCAGGATAACTCTTTCTAAGTACTACTAGCGGCGATCAACTTCATGCAGCTCCCGATTGCTGTCAAGTACAACGGCCCGTGTTTGTGCCCAAAGTGGATCACGTGGGGGCCCTGCTGCTTTGGATGAAACGCAAACAGAGTCCATGGCTTCAAAGAAACGGCAAATCTACTTCTTGACCACCTTGGCATCAAAGTTGGCAAACAGTTTGGCACGCCGCCATTCAACCGCAGCTTCGTCCTTCTCGCAGGTGAAAGCATGTGAAAGACGCAAGAGACAGGTACACTATGTGCAGTCTTGAGAGGCACTGTTTCAAGCCAAGCAGTTCAAAACCTCTGCACACCCACTCCTCGACTTGAGCATTGAGGACGCCATGTGGACCTCGGACGCCGAACATCCTTTTCGAGCGGCTCGAACGTGGCTCGTCTGCTCATCCCGCCCAGAGCCTCCATCTGCAGTCGCATTCAGGCGCAAAGGAAGCGAGGAGGACGGCAAGCGGCGGCCTGGAAACACCCAACACCGGCGCCTCTCCGCGAGCAGGGCGCGCGCGCGCGAGTCAATGGCGCGCACGCTGAGTCGAGCGTGTCTGCGAAGGACACCAACTGCTGAGGTTGCCAACCTGCTGAGGGACCCAGGATGTTGGACACCTTGGAGAGACGACTTCACACTAGCCATTGGTCTCATCTCGTCCTCTGAAAGTGAAGATCGTTTGAAGCAAAAAAATGGTTCAACATACGCCAGGAGCCCCTAGTAGCGTTCTTGCTCCTAGTAGCGATGCCCTTTGCTCCAAGTAGCTTCTTGATACGTTCGTAGCTTCTTGTTGCTAGTAGCGATGGCCTCCAACCTAATAGCAATGGCCTCCACCCAAATAGCTTCTCAGTAGCAATGCACACCATGAGGTGGTTTAGTCTAAACTGCACATCTGCTTTTGGTCCTCTTTTCAGCCCATCTTCTTAGGTTTGTTTTGGAGCAAAGGCGGGCACCACGAGCCTCTTGCTTTGATCCGGCGATTTACGGACGTCCATGCGGTCACCTGCAAACAGAACCAAAAAAGGACAGGCTGTGTACAGAACAGTTCGACACTTCTCTCATGCCATCCTGCCAAGCATACCTAGCATTCTTATCCCCTCCTGGTGTAAAGCGGGTGCGCGCCGCAGGTTCCTGCAGGATCCAAAAAGAAGCTGGCAGAACTCCTGCAGAATCATCGAACGAAGCTGCATAACTCCTCATACACCATGAGTGAGAAAAGGGGCTGCACTTGCTTTGAGTGCACCCAATCCGCCGGATCGTTTAACAAGTAGAAGTTGTGTTTGCAACCTAAACATCCTTGCGAATCCGCTCACGGAATGATGAAGCCAACCAAACATCTTTCCAAGAAAGCATGAATGGCCAAGGATCTGCTGTGTGTTCCTGCGAGCCAATGCTCCTCATGTTGGACCCGAATATGGATTGAATCGAATTTCGAGTGCAGCTCCTCCTCTCCGCAAGATGCTGAGAAGCAACTCGTACTCTGACCCACCCACAATGCGTTGCAAGCTGCCGTTTCTCGCTTGATTTCTCATCACTGCGCTGTTAATGGTACAGTAGGTCTGTGCATTCTATGCTTCAATGTCTCTTCCCACAAATGATTTGTTTTTGTGTGTGTGTTCCTGAAATGAGAGGTTGAAGGCAAACATACACCCATGGAATCCAACAACACAAAGCTTTGTCACGTGGTCTGGGTGGCCTTTTGACAAGCGCAGCTATTCTTGCAAGTGGACCAGCTGGACCAATTCACTCACAGGGCATGATGGCATATCAAGGTTAACCTTCAGTCCCGTTGTGGTGAGGTGCCATCAAAAGAAACAGGTCTTCTTCTGCAAGCCCAAATGATCTGCAAACTCACAAATATTCCAGTGCTTTACAAACGGATGCGTTTTATGCCATACCAGCCTATCAGGTTTCATTGTTTTCGGACAGCCGTCACTTTTTCAACTAGTGTTGACAGAAATCCAATTGACTCGGCCGAAGTTCATTGACTTGGCCTCCAAAAGTCTGCTCGAGGGTGCGATTTCATCGCAATCGACCAGACCAGGATTGAGGTCTTCAATGACTTCGTCCAACAGATATCTTCTCCACAGCGAAGCCACCAGAAACCGGGTTAGATCTTTAAACCTCGGACCTGAAGACCGCCCAGGGAGGTCGCATCATATTTGGACAGCTGTGAGCTGCATCGTTGTGCTCAGCCCGATAGCGTCGGAAGCATGAACCTTGCTCTTGAACAGCGTGGCCTGCACTAATCGCTGGGTCCAAATGCGCTTCGTCGGCTTCGATGCAAAATCGGGAGTGGATGCTTCTACACTGGACACGTGCGAAACGTCGATGCGCGTGTCGCTCGTGCTTGCAGTTGACCTGACATCTGTGAATCAACAAAAAACACATCAGTGCTGTTGAGCTGCTGTAAGCGTAGTTCACTTCGGTATCCACGGGTTTGCCCCACCAGTAGACCGTCAGCAGAAAGTCATCATCAGAGGTGGTGTCCATTTCGTGCACCAAGCCGCCTGATTACTGTCAGCCCAGCAAAAGCTATGGGGGCTCTGTGTGTGTGTGCGTTGTTCCAATCATCCAAAGCCCGAAGATTGAAAAAGCTGGTTGAAAAACACTCACGTTGTCTCAACTATTTTCAAAGCCGACTTCGTTCACGAAACGTCCTGGATGATTGTGAAGCTGCCATGGCCCTTGAGGCTTTGTCATGCGAATCTCCGACCAAGGCCTTGGACCGTTCAGGAAAAAAGCTACTACGAAGAAAGGGCATCGCTACTAGGAGCAAGGACGCTCCTAGTAGCTCAAACAAGAAGCTACTAGGAAAAAAGGTGTTCATTTCTTGTCAAAAAGGGCCGCTGGCGAGAAGACAAACCAGCCAGCAGCTTTATCATCACTTCAGTTCCTTCTCATCATGGAACCTCAAAGGGTCTTCTCACCACTTCGACCCCCGGTCAAAAAGGCCAAAAAAAGACAACGAACATTCCCCGACATGTAAAAACCCAATCAAAAACGGTCACCCCCCGGAAAAAACACTTCACGTGCTCAGCCTCTGACTCCATCACTAGACATGGAAAAAAAACACCCCGCCCTCACTCGCTCGTCGAAGAGGTCTCGGGTCCCCGGACCACTCGTTGGGCGCCTTGGTGAAGTTCTGCGGCCAAGTCCTCCACCAGCCAGGCCCACGGATCTGCCAATACGCTTCCTGCGAGTCCGCTGCGTGGCCAGTCCGACCGGGCACGGCCAGGGGGGGTGGCAAGGGTTACGACTCCAGACCCCCGCAGGGTACGACTCCTGAGAACCAGAAAACGAGAAACGAAGGATGGTGGACATGAGATCCCCTGTGCATGGGGCGAAAACACATGCTTGGCGCGGTCGACTACGAAGCGGTATCTGCCCGTCTCCTTGAATTCATGAGGCGCCCCCACCAAGAACCCAAAGCAGCTGCTGAAAGTCTGTCATGTCTGTCCTGGTTGTCGTGCACATGAGCTGGATAACAAACGCCATGATTCAAAGCAGCGATTCCCAGAACAGCATAGGAATCGTTGGTGTCCTTAGTCTTTGGCTTCAAACCAAGTTAAACCCAAGGACCAACTGCAAGCGACCTGATGGCAAGGCTGTCCTCAAGGATTTGGACTGCTGTAATTTGATTTGTGACTTTACGCCCGAATCTTGTTTCAGACAAAGAGCACAAATCAAAGCATTGAAGTAGCCCGCGTTCCGCATCACGCATTCCTTCGGCTTCGGGAAGAGTCTCGCGGTTGTACTTGACTCTGACAAGGACCAACTTGAAACACAAGAGTGGCGATGGCATACAGGTCACCTGGGAACAAGAAGCTACTAGGGGCTCCTGGGATCGCTACTAGGAGCAAGGACGCTACTAGGGGCTCCTGGCCTTACTACTAGGAGCAAGTAGCTACAAAGAGCTTTTTTGCGCGCACTGGTCTTCTCCTCCCAAAAGGCACGTGCACCCACGGGTCGTCCCGTAAGAGCATCTTCATACTCAGGAGGCGCTGGCATACCGCACCACTTTCCATACAATGCTTCGCTGTCATTGTTGGAGTGGAGATGAAACTTGGCGAGGGTCTTCAGGGGAAGGCCTGACCAATTCTCAACCGATCCTACAACCCTTTTGAGATGTTGGGTCCAAAGTTAGTCTCAGATTCTGCACAATCATGTTGGATATCAAGAGGTCTGACCGTCACCCCTTCTCTTTCAATCCATGTGCCAAGCATGGCCACGGCCAGGCATGGCCACGGCCTGCAAACTGAGAGAGCCCATCAATGACGCGCTCGCTGGGGATGTAAGCTGCATCTCCAAAGTTGTTGAAGCCCTCAGAGCCACACTGCCAGTGATCGCTAAAGGGCCTGGACGGATGCTGTGGGATGCTCCACAAGCGGAGAAGGAACACCGCGAGTCATTGGACTGAGGACTGAGAACTGAAGTCTTCTTATACTAACACTCGTTGAAGATGTCTAGAAGGGAGATAAATATCCAACCGTGAAGTGGCCCTAAGAATAGCCCTGCCTGTCACTGGCTCGATACTCATCCAAGGTCAAACAGGTTCCCTTCATTGCTTTTCTCATCTCTTTGGCCACATTCAACTCGTTGTCCTGAAAGACCAGGTTCTGAATCTGAGGAACGAGAGCAGCCATCACCTGGGCCGCAGGCCGAACAAAAACGTGTCCGAACCCACCAAGTGGGAAAGACCAGACGTGTCCGACACGGAAAAAAAGGACCGACCAATGTGCAGATGCACCACTTGGACATACACACTGCCCACTGCCCAGCCTCTTTCCATGCATCATCACTGCGCATGAGCCCTGAAAGAACCAACCAGTTGCACTAGGAGCGGATGCAAAAAATGGAAACTATTGTGAAGTCATTTGTACACATCTTTCCTTATGGTTTACTTGTTGTAAACCTCTTCTCCCAATGTTGAGAGACTCTCTCAGACACATCGGATGGCCTCGCCGTTGTAGGGCGTCCAGCGCGCAAGGTCCACCAGATTGACATTCATCGTCACCCAGGGTCCAGCTGGGTGTCTCAGCCTCTGAGCTAGCACTTTCAACCCGAAGAATAGAAAACAAACACCAATTTTGCAACTAGGGGCTCCTGGCCTTACTACTAGGAGCAAGGACACTACTAGGAACAAGTGCATCGCTTCTAGTAACAAGTGCCTTACTAGTAACAAGAAGCAACTTCCCTCTCCTCAGACTGGGACGAACGATTTCGCCGACGGAACGATTTCGCTCATAGGCCCTTTGTGGACTCGAACATCGTCAGTCCTCCGCAACAGCTGGAACAAGCAGCCCAAGGAAAACCACAACGGGACCACGCGCCATGGCAGCGGCAGAAGTAGCTGGAAGAGTCGATGGTAGAGTCGGATCTGGATGATGCTCGTGGTTTTGCTCTGGAGGAAGCAAATGAGTGTAAAATAGTGTAAATGTGATTCATAACCTGAGAGCAACTCTGCGAGATACATGTTCCTGAAGAAGAGGAAAAAAGATGTGATTTTGTGCCGACAAGCTCGCGACTGCGACCGCCGTGCTGGCTCGTGCAACTTGGGTCCCGCCTTTTTTGTTTCGCAGAGGTCTGCAGGTCTCGCGAGATCGGCCCTTGACCATGTGTCAGGTGTCGGCTACGAAGGCTACTCCAAAGCATCGCAGCAATCGCTGTCAGTATGGAGGCTCTGCATCTTCGGCTTATCGTTTGAAGCAGTTCTTCCAAGTTGGTGGTGAGGTTGAGGGGTTTTCTGCCCTGGTCAATCACTGGAGAGGATCTCCACCTCATGCAGGTCCAGCGAAAAAGACGCAGTTCCTGAGCCCTGCTTAAGCGAAGCGCTGGTCGGCCATGTTGAAAGGTCGAAACATTAAATGATCACGAATACCATACCAACGGGTCTTAGCACCTTTAGCCTCGGACATGACAAATGCCGTTCGGTCCAAGTTGAAGAGCAGTTCCGGCTCAGAAAGACCTGAGACCAGGCAATCAAAAATCAGAAAAAAGGAAGGAAGGAGCCCCGTTCGTAGCGTCCTTGCTCCTAGTAGTAAGGCCAGGAGCCCCTAGTAGCGGCAGCGTCTTCCCTTCGCCCCTCCCGGCCTGGAATCTCAAGCTTCAAGTTCTGGTCATCCAGCATCTTCCATTTGCCTTTGCCTCGCTTCGAGACCACTAGGCCCCCGTGAGGCAGGAAGCGAAACACGCCCACGGGCGTTGGAAAGGTCAGCGGCAACTCGTACAGAAAGAAGCGTCGATCCACAAACACCGGCGCCAAGTCTCGCGGAACGCCGTCTGGCACGCCTTTGCGGCAGAGCATGCCTTCCGACTTCGTGGTCCACACCGTTTTCTCCTCGCTGTGGATGCCCTCGAGTCCATTCCAACTGATGAGTTTGGTCGCGCTTCCATTCCAACCGGTGCCGATGCCTTGGCAATCCACCAAAGCACCGGTGGATTGAAACTCTTCGATCGCACGTTGCACCCCAACTTCACTGTTAAAGTCATCAAATACAAGGTGGGTCAGTGGCTGCAAATGCCGCAGAGAGTTCAAGGTATCAGCATGTACATAGTCGTATGTGTGATCTGCATCAATCACAACAACATCAACGTGGTTGTTCCTGAAGGAAGCCCACGAATCGGACAGGGAATCGGCGGACAAAAAAACGATATTGGAATGATGTTTGGTATGAGCAGCAGCCACCTGCAAAAATTCCTCTTTGATGTCCACTGAGAAAACTCTGCGAAATATAGCAGCTAACACAGAGGTGGTGTGACCATGGTACACCCCCAATTCCAGCACCGTCCAATTGGCAGCAATTGGACAGAAATATCTTGCCAAATGGCGCTTGTAAAGATGACTCGTGGTAACCCTCATGTTTTTCCTGTCTGGCGCTCTCTGTATTTCAAGCTCTGTCTTTTCCAAACAAGTGGCAGGACTTGTAGTTTGGCCAAGCGCATCGTGCCACGAGAACAAGGGCACAAGACTTAAACAAAGTGCGCAAGGCAGACAGTTCGATCGCATGTTGGGTCGATTTAACCCAGCTCAGTCACAGTCACCGCGCCAAAAAAATATCTTGGCCATGCAGAATCGCTGTGGCCATGCACGCCTACCTTTCTCTGCAGCCGTGGTTTCATGCAATTACAACAACTCGTCATGCAAAATTCCAAGTGCAAAAACGAAAACGCACGCAAGACTGACCGTGCTCAAAAACTACCGTCAGTTCATGGTGAGTTGCAATTTAGGCGTTCTTCCTTGGAAACACGCTTTGACAGGCACTGAACATTGTGTCAGTTTGTTTTCAGTGAAAGCCACCACCAGCATACATTGATTTCCAAAAGCCACCAACAACATACATTGATTACAAACATTGATAAAGCACTCATTCTGACACTTTTTGGGGAGATGTCTTAAACATTCTTAAACCTAGCCGGGATTCACAAGTTTTCACTGCAAAAATAAAGCATCCGGAGTCGAACTATGTTGTTTTTCGCACACACGCGAATGGAAAACTACATGATCGAAGAACGACAGCCTGAACATGTTGCAGGTCATGTTTTTCTATTTCGGGCGCGGAAAAAAGAAACTGTGGATTATGTTGCACATGAACAACAACACGGTCGAAGATTCCAAGACCAACTTCCCCACTTTGCCCCCACAGGTTCATCGCGCATAGGTATCGATTTGATCGATCAGCTCAAGAACAACTGCTAGGGATGAATCATCTGCGCTGGGGACATGGACGTGGCAAAAATGAACAAGAACCGTGCACAATTGCAGGCAACTGCCAGCACACCTCAAACACCAGAACAAAGCACGCCGCGCAAAGGAAAACAAGAAAACCTTGGATCCTGGAGAGGCTTCCGAACTCAGTTCATGGTGTGGGCCACCTCAAGAGACCACAAACAAAGGATCCAAAGGAATTCGACACAGTTTCTGCCTCAAAATTGATTGGCTGGCTCTTTCAGTTTGCCATGCTTGCATGGTGTCTTCCCGGGCCTTAGTTTCACTTTCTCTTTTGTTTCACCTGTCTCTTGCGCCTTCTTCCACATTTTTCTGCGAAATGAGAGGCTGGACCTCACTCCGCGCGCCCTGAGGAAAAAAGACATGCTTGCACTGCGTCTTCAAGGACTCTTTTCCAAAAACAAACTCTGGAACCATGTTCTTTTCCAGCCAGTGCCGCCACCTCGCATCGCTGAGCAAACCCAGTGGACAAGCAAAACGAGAAAGTAAAACCATCCCCAGCACAGCAATGCGATTTCATCTTGGCATGACATGAATGGTGCATTTTCTTCTTTAGTGCGCAAGGTCGGAACCTCACCTCGCGCAAGGTCGGTGAAAAGTGACAGGCGGACTTGTAAAGAGACACAGCATGACACCGTCTGAACATCATGTCATGTCAGATGACATCATGTCATGCCAGGGACCAGCACTACCAACATCTGCACCAGCAGTTCACCTTTCACCTCCGACGTTTGCCACCGACCTTGCAACGCGCACCCAAAAAAAATAACGTCTGCAAAAGCAGCACGCCCAGAAATGCGGATCCAGCAAGCAATAGCCGCATCCGCACTCCAATGGCACCAAAACCCGCCCAGCACGCACTTTCTTTCTTGTGGGCGTGTGGAAAACTTAAAAACTCTGGAAGATCATTCCCCTCTTTGTTTTTTCTCTGAACTATTGTTTTTCAAAAATCATCCCTTGGACGTTACATCAGATGAATCTTGTTTTCTAATGGTACCCACCATCTGTTTGACATTTTTCTCTTTGCAAGATTTTAGTACTTGTTGAACCAAAATCCACTTTTCACACACGTACTCTCTTGTGTTGTTTCATCTTAATTCAGGATTGATTCCTGGTTTCTTGTCCAGATATTTTTTGAGAGAACTCTGCTCGTTTTTTGAAGCTCTATCAAAAAACGTAGGTAGCAAACCTTACGGTAAACTGCATTTCCCTTGGATCTTTAAGCTCATAGCAGGCTCTCTAAATGAGTGCGGTACACTCCAAAGCTCGTTCTCACGACACTTCTCAAGTCAACAACCACTCAAGCTTGCGCAGTGCACTCCTCGCGCCCTTTTTGCACACTGACACGCTTGAGCCAAAAGCAACAATCGTTCAAAGACCGTCCATTTGCACAACACACACACAACTCCATTTGCACAACACACAAACAACTCTTTGCAAAAAACTTATTAACGATCGAAAACGCCAAAGAACTCTTTCAAAACTTCAAGAAACAAACTGCAGTGTCAAAGTCTGGTTCTCTCCCATTCAGGACACAAACCAAACAACACAAAACAACAAAACCAACAAGTAGTACGAGCAAAACGGCCATCCAACAGATGGATTTTTCAGTTTTTTTTGGACATTTCGTTAGTCTTCTCATTCTTCTTCAGTGAGAACAAACGTTGCGAACACAAATTTTTCGACATTGGTGCAACCCTGAGCGACCAGTAGATTCTTGAGTCTCCTGTGCACAGAATCTTAGGTGGAGACAACGCAGCATCGTCAAATTTTTTCAGAGGTCAAGGAGTGGTCTTTGTTGAGTTGTATTGTGGTCGAGATTAATGTCAAAGCAAGCGTGGTGGAGACGGTGTGCATTGCACATTGGATGTTATGACCGTCCAGAGGAAGAGATTCTTCACGCATAAATTGTTTCAATGCTTGTTTCCATCGATCTGAGTGTGGCATTGAGTTGGTCCATGTCATGTCTTTGCCATGTGCGCAGAGGCATGTCGAGGTCTTTGAGGAGGTTGCCAACTCTGTCGATTGCCTTTTGGAAGAAAGCTTAGAAGGTATCCGTGGACAGGTCCAAGCGCCTTGAGCTTCTAGCATCTGAGCAATGTTGTCAATAACCAGTTCGAAAGAGGTTCTAGGTTCTTGTCAAGCAGGAAGCCACCACAACTCGGAGCTGGTAACATCTGCGAAACGCGCCATGCTGCAGGCAGACGACCGTGTTCGGCAAGTGGACCACCTGCAATCGCTGACAGCTCCTCCGCAACGCAGCACAGTTCATGACTTTTACTCTAATGGTGTGGAGTGTGGTGGCAGATTGCACGCGAGAAGGAGCCAGGGGGTGCAAGTGACACCTCCCTTGCGGGAGAGAACTCAACCCTTCGTCAGCAATCCGGTCGTTGCAATGCCTTCTACTGCCACACTCACGATTAGCTTCTGCACTTTGGATGCGCAATCAGTTGTGTGGGTTGTGCCACGAAGAGGGAATTTTCCACGGCTTGCCATGCCTTGCAACTTCTGACTCCTTGGCCGGAGTCTTTGTCGCTGCTGACCTTTTCTTGGCACTTTGCAGACAGTCGAAATACTTCTAGTGCCAAGCACCAAAGTGGCTAGGGCGATTTCACCCCTGCCAACAGCAACAGGTCACATTTGACTGGCCTCCCCAAGCTTTCGAAGTCAGTGAGCTTAAGGCGAGTAAACATACTGACAGATCTGTGAGAAACTTCGAATCTCTTCCACAATTAGCTCAACTTCAACAATGCTAAGAAGAGCCTGACTCGGGCGGTTGGGCGATCTGAGGTACAAGGAAGTCATCTTTTTGGCCCGGATAGCCTAGATAGCTGTAGGGTGGTGCCTGCCTGCTCGTAACACCCACTTTTTGGACGACAGAATTTTACTTGGCCCTTCCGCACAATCTTTAAGTTTGCCAGATACGCCAGGCTCATCCCTCTGCCCTTTTTTGTCTTGATAAGATGTCTTAGCAAAATCTTGGCATGCAAGTGTTGAGCAAAGCAGTGGGCTTGAAGCCCTTTGCGTCAAGCTCCTCTATGCCAAGGCGCCTTGGGGCCATTCATTCGCCACCAGTGGGCTCCAAGCCCTTTGCGTCAAGATTCCTGATATCAAGGCCCTTAAGGCCATTCATCCGCCACCAGTGGGTCACAGCCGCCTCAGCTCTACAGGGATAGCCACATTAACACTAACGCAGGGCTTTACAGTCATAGGAGCGCATGCTTGTGACAATTGTCACCTGCTCAGGAATGTTGACCTTTCTAACACACAAATAGAAGAAATACAAGAATTTACCTTTGCTGCATGAGGCCTCAAAGAAGTTCGTCTTCCAAGGACACTCCATACGATTCGAGTCAAGGCCTTCATGAACTGTGCGGCCCTACCAGAAGTTGCTTTACCACCCTCACTCAAATATATGGCGAGTAGAGCTTTCTTGGACTGCCCTAACGTCAAGGTCTCTTGCGTCAAGGCCCGTGAGGCCATTCGTTCGATGCGGCCTTTCTTTCGCCAGTGGGCTCAAAGCCCTTTGCGTCAAGGCCCTTGAGGCCATTCATTCGCCACCAGGGCTCCAAAGCCCTTCACGTCAAGCACCCTCGAGACCGGTCATTTGTCTCCTTCATGCTCTTATGCTCATTCTGACTGCGAGCAGTGCGCAAAGGTTGAGCCCAAAATTTCAATGACGTCCGTTTGGGACAAATCAACAGTTTGCAGTTGCTGGCAGCTCGTACAGGCGGCCACTCCTATCCTGTGAAAATCTGACGATAGACAGAGTGCGACGATGCCCGCTTCGCATCTCACTCATCTCCCCGGCAAAAAGACTCCGTATCTTCTTGCCGAACAACACACTGCATGAGAGTCCTGATACACAAGTTACTCCAGTCGAAGACTTAGAGTGGACTCAAGACTGGAGCCCCCTTGTCAGACTTGAAAGGGGTATGTTAAGGGAAGTCCCCTTACAGCCATTCATGAGACCAATAGCGGTTTTAAGTGACCTTGCTTTACGTTATAGCTGGTCTAGCTATCCGGCAGCGCTATTGTGGCGCATCTCTCATTGGCACACCAAAGAAGGTCTCGCAATGACAGCCAATCTCTCCTCTGACAATGGGATACCTAATTTCCATTGGAATTCGATCATACCACCAATATATCAAACGGCATGGAGGCATCTGCTTAAGTGCTTTGCTATTGGAGCTCCCAATTCTGAGAAAGATTTTGCTCTCCGTGATGTCCTTCCGCTTTTTCACAATAGCAGCATCCAGCTGCCCTTCCGGCTTCTCACGGACCAAGAAGTGCTTCAAGTCTCAGGGCTGAGTCGAAACTTTCAGAACATTGTGCATCTTAAACATCTTCTTACGCCACATACCATGCGCTCTTTTGTTGGCAATTCTTTCCACCCAAGGCTTATTAGTCTTGCCATAGGCAGTGCAGAGAACCTACAAGCGTGGGTCCAAGGAAGACTTCCAAGTGTCGCGAAAATTCCTGACCCTGCCACAGTACGTAAGAACTATGTGCGCTTCAAACGAGAAATCAGTGATTCTTTTGCTCGCAAGAACTATGCTCCCAAATCTACCCTTGTTGAGGAGCCCTATCGCCATATTGACTATCGAGCTCTCATTATGTCACCACTCGAGGCTCCAAAGGTAGCACAGCCCACTGTTGGCAATGTCCTACCCATGTACCTCACACGAGAGGTAATAGAAGCAGATCTTCAGAAAGATGCTAGTGCACGATTACGTGTCATAGGAACACCACATTTCCTTAGATTTTTAAAGCACAGTCAGCTTTTCCAAACTACGCAAGAGCTAGCAGTCCCCCAATGGCTTCCTTTTACGAACGAAGTTGCAAATTCTCTCCCTGCCTATGTGAGAGGTCTGTTTGCGTACCCTACCTTACCGAGAGCTATCCTGTTTTTTCGGAGCTTAGCAGTCAACAGCGCAACTGAAGTTGATGGGTACTTAATAGTTTCATATCGGCACTCGCCTTGCCAGATTCACTACATTGGACCGCATAAGCCTCAGAATCTATATGTAGTGCAGCTCCGAGATTCAGTTGAAATATTGCTCTACAAGTATGGTGGACAGCCAATTCAAATCCAACCCATCACAACACCTCAAACAGACTATACTGCCAAATACAGCTTCAGCATTCCTCTTCGTGTCGAAGCAGAAGCAAGCGTTTTTGGAATTGCTATACAACACAACTCCAGAGTTATAAGTTTCGAATCCCCTTTTACCAGAGCCTTGTCTGAAGTTGGATGTGCCCTCTGGCGCTTATCACAGAGTGCTGCGGCCAAGTTAGAACTACTGCAAACTCACCCCTTTGTCAACTGTTGCCATAGTGAGCTAGCGCGGTTACCGCTCATTCTCATTGAAGGAAATTATGTTGGTACTTGTCTCGCTGTTTGTCCTTCAACAGCAAAAGCACTTTGTGGGCAAGAGCAAACTGAAGTATGGGCAGCACCAAATCCCCATGCCCTATGCCTTCTTTTTGTCTGTCAAGCAAATGATCCTGATCCCTCTAACTTCCGTCGTTTAGTTACCATTTTTCCTGAAGAAAACGTTGTACTACCTGCACTTCCAACTGCAGAATCAGCCATCGCTCCTCACAAAGAGTCACAACAAGCCACGCCTGTTGATAGTTGCCCTGGTCTATCTACTGCGAATGGATGGTACGTTGGTATCTGCGGAGAGCCTGCCCTAACTGTGTTCTGGGGAGCCCAAGCTCTCCTTAACCAGTCATGACGCGTCTTGTTTCGTTACCACTCACCACTCTCCGCCTCATACAACGTACCTTCGCAGTTGGACTAAGGGCTGTCTCGTGGCTATCTTTTCGGGAAAATTGTGGCAGAATGCTCACTCAAGTTTACTCACTCCACTTTCTCATCCATTTCATTTCTCCCAAACGTTCCTATCGACAAATCAGGATTGGGGAACTACTAGAACTATGTGGTTTCCATCGTCTGGTTAACCTTGATGATGCAATGCGTGCACTCCAACGAC